AAAGAGGAACATTCATACTAATTTCTAAGTTAGCAATTAGGACTAAGAGAAGATAAGAAGCTTAGAAGGCACATAAAGGAATGGGATTTATTACATCAAACTTTGTAGCGTTACTGTTATTGTTACTTTTAGCGTCTACTGCTAAATGTCAACCTGGTGCGGGTGTTTTTGATATACTCAAGTATGGTGCCAAACCCAACACTGATGTTACTCAAGTAAGTGTATATAATTAATTTGATAGACCATTTTAATTTATACAATAAACGTTTATTTGATGAAGTAATTCACTCTACAGGCTTTAGCAACTGCATGGAAAGAAGCATGTGCATCAATCACTCCAAGTAAATTACTGATTCCAAAAGGAATTTACCTATTAAGTGGAGCCAGCCTCAAAGGCCCTTGTAAGAGTCCTATTGAGGTCCAAGTAGATGGGATTTTACAAGCTCCGAGCGAAGTGAAAGGAGAAGGGTGGATTAYGTTGGATTATATCGATCAATTGACATTGTCAGGCACTGGAACTTTTGATGGCCAAGGAAAAGCAGCTTGGGCAAAGAATGATTGCCACCAAAAGAAAGAATGCACCAAGCTTGCCATGGTAAGTGTTCAATCATTAAATAAATAAATATATATACATACATATACATTAATATAGCCTAATATCGTTTATTATTAAATATATGTAATCTCAATTAATTTATATACTTTTGACACTAAGAGCTTTTTATTTGTTCCAAATGAACAGAGTTTGAAGTTCAATTTCGTCACTAATTCAATAGTGAAGGATATAACTTCCTTGGACAGCAAAAATTTCCATATCAATGTTTTGGGCTGCAAAAATCTGACCTTCCAACATGTGACAATTACTGCACCAGGGAATAGTCCCAACACCGATGGAATTCACATTGGTTGTTCAGAAGGGATTAACATTCTTAATACAAAAATCGCAACCGGAGATGGATGTGTATAAGAGACAGGTTCAGAAGGGATTAACATTCTTAATACAAAAATCGCAACCGGAGATGATTGTATCTCTGTAGGAGATACTAACAAACAAATAACTATCAGTGATGTAACTTGTGGACCAGGACATGGCATTGCCATAGGAAGTTTGGGCAAGTACACCAGGGAACAAGGTGTGGAAGGAGTTACAATAAAAAAATGCAAATTAATTGATACTACAAACGGTGTCAGGATCAAAACATGGCCGGATTCTGCTGGTTCATTCGGAGCATCAGACATGCATTTTGAAGATATTGAAATGGTTAACGTCAGTAATCCTGTCATTATAGACCAAGAATATTGTCCATGGAATCAGTGCAATCGAAAGGTATGTATTAAAATTGTACCTTATTTAGTTCAACTAATTATTAACTGAAAAATGTATTTAAAAAAACAGTGGAAAATTGAGTTATATATGACAATAATGTTTTCTTTTTACTGCTCAGGTTCCATCAAAAATTAAGGTCAGTAAAGTTAGCTTCAAAAATATCAAAGGCACATCTGCTACTCCAGTCGCAGTCAAACTTGTTTGCAGCAAAAGCATACCATGTGAGGGTGTAGAAGTTGCTGATATTGACCTGACGTACAGTGGAAGTCAAGGTCCGATTACATCTCAGTGTGCAAATGTGAAGCCCACCATTTCCGGAAAGCAAAACCCTAAAATCTGCGCTGAAGTTGCTCCTCTTGATGGCCCATCAACTGATTAATCATTTCCATGGTGGCAATAGTTTCATGGAAAACCATCTTTTTCCCTAGCATTTTTATTTTAGTTTTGAAAGGTTCCCATTTCGTGCATGCGATGGATCATGTGTGCATGCTTTTAATAATATTATTTGTACTTTTATAGAGAAATCACTGTTCTCGAATGACAGTCACTACCTTAAAATTAATTTAATGTCTTAAAATGAAAAGAAAAATTATTTTTTTTGTGTCAAAAGAATAATCCAAATTTGTTAGATCTAATTTATTTGGTACTGTCATGATGTTTTTTTTTAATAAGTTGTCGAAGACTTTTATGAATTAATTTTACACGCATAAATGTATTGTGGATTTAACAAATATTTGACCCATGTCAAAATTTCTTAATTTTCAACCAGTTATACTGAGTATGATGTATGATCAAATTCATAATAATCAAATGGAATATTTTTCTATGGATGATTAATTAACAACATGACACAAAGTGAAGAGATGAAAAGCCAATTAACATGTTACTGCAAATACAAAGAAAAAACAATACACATGAATATAGTTAATTATAATATATATATTTTAGGATATGGTGTTTGGACTAAAAGTACACCGCTGCAAGCCATCAACACTTGAAGTTTCTTATTATATGCTACTAATTTCCATTTTCCTATTTGTCGATGAATATATATTATTTGTCAATCATTTGAAGTAAAAGATAAGAAAGCAAAACCTAAGTTTATGGTAGCTAATCACAAACGGAAGCAATCCAACCAAAATAATAATATTTCGGATTCAAATTAGGACGTATATTCTCTAGGAAGTTAGAATCTCCCCTCTCATATTATTGTTGAACCATTTAGGATCCCAATATGCTTTCGCTATTAGACACGAATTACTTGGAAATTTAAAACAAATAATCTGAATTAAAATTTTCATATTTTTTTCTCCATATGAGTTTTTTATAACCCAATGTCGTTCTGAATTTTTCTCAATAAGTGGGTAAATTATAACTTTCTTATAGAGAGTTATTTTGATATTATTTAGAAGGATTTGCATGTGGTGTAGTGACATAGCAAGATTACAGAGTGAGTTGCACTTTCTATAACTGAAGCATAATATTCAGCAAGAGAGGCGTGCAAAGGCATATTGTGGATGGAGCGGTTTATGTAGGAGCTTCGCTTCAAGGAACAACTATATGTGATATTCTGCAATAATCAGACTGGTATTCATCTTGGTAAGAGTTCAACATTTCATTCAAGAATAGAACGCATGCTATAAGGTATCACTGAACGAGAGATTCCCTAAATGATGGATTGTTTTAACCTGAGAAGATACATACTAGTCATAATGAATCAGATATTCCGACGAAGAATCTACCGAGAGAAAAGCTTGAGTTTTATCGTTCCATTACTAGAAAGGCCAGTTCCTTCGAACATTGAAAAGTGGGGATTTATTGGGTATTTTTCACCTTGTATGAAAGCCCACTAAGATGAACCATATGAGCCTTAGGTTTTTTTTTTTAATTCTTTTATATGTGTGCTGCCATCAACGTGAGAAAGATGGAGAGGGAGTTTATGCAGAACCATACGGTGAGGGAGAGAGAAATGGGAAAGAAATTGAGAAAAGAAAAAAGTTATGTACATAGGCATTTTCAACACTTTTGGAGGTCAATCTATGGTTCGATCGAGCTGAAATTTTGACAACGTATTTACAACACGAGGGTCTTAAATCTTAAGGGTGTAGATTTCTTTTGGAGCTACCTACAATCAGATATAGTGGGTAGTTGTGGTGCTACAAGTGAGATCTTTCTAATTTTCTTCTGCTGTGTTATTCCCGTGTTTGTGATCATCTGAGGTTTCAAAATTTTTTGTTGGTTTATTAGAAAAAGAAATTGTTGAATCAACTGCTCCTTCATAATTGCTGGTAATACCAACAAGACAAAAACCTACTAGATGCTTAACACAAAATTTATCGAGATTTATTGTCTCGAGATATCTATTATTATATGCCTCCAGTTTTGACTAGAAAAAACTTGGTCTAGCCTAATATTAATAGTAATGGAGATTTTAACTCCAGTAGGTGGTTTTTTGCTCTCTGCTTTGAGAAGGTTTTTCCACGTTAAAATTGCTTGTGTCCGTTACTTATTCAAATTATGTTTACTTACTTTTTCCTATTACTTTTACTTATTATTTCGTATTGCTGATGGAGAAATCTGAGCAGGATACGTGTCGAACATTAGGGATGATAGCGGGGCGCGGGACCACAGGTGGTTAGGAACGTACATTGCGTGTGCATACGGGCGTGTTACCATCAGAGCTCTACGAATAGAACGTTGAGGGCTGCAGCCTTGAGTCTGCGACTGCAAGAGGACAAACTGGCAGACGGAGGTGCCACCCACCTATTTTCAGAGGTGTCCACCCTCACTCGTTAGAACCCCTTACAGCTCGATGTGCCCCTACGCCCATAACCGTCAGCCATTCGCACCTATAAAAGGGAAGGACCCCATCACTACCAAGTGGAAAATCTATCTCTAAACCTAACATGTCTACCCTTATTTCCTTTACTTTGATTATTAACTTGATCGTCATAGTATATTAGGCGAGGCACCACTTTGGCGTCGAGTTTTTTTTTTTTTTGTTGCAGACTCGTTTGCCTTTCGACGATACACGCTTCTCAATGACGCATGGACCTCTCCAAAATTTACCTTCAATAGTTGGCGCTGTCAGTGCGGAACGATGTTTTCAAGCCGAACGAAAGCTCGTTTTCCTTCTCTAAGACTCCGAGACGATGTCCTCCAATTAGGAATCGTCATTTGAATAATTTATCAACTAGGAACGTCGGCGCGACAAACCTACTGCCAAGGCACTGCCACCCCTTCTGCTCCTCAGAAGATGAGGGGAGCCATGAACGCATGCCACCCACTCCGCCCGATGGATAACCTCGAGAAGTAGAAAGAGGGGAATCCCCATAGAAGGAGCTCGAGGAGCTGAGGTAAAGGTAATGAGCGCCCACATGTCGTTCCAAGTAGAGAGGTTGGTAAACGTCATCCTGATCGACCGTACCAGGAAGACAGCCAACCCTATCGTTGAGAACGGGGCACCGAGGGGATCGTCGAAGGGGAACCTTAAGGCGAACTCGGAGACGGCCAGGTCCAGGCCCTACTTTAGTATTACTGACACGACCCGCCCTAAACACCTACTAACTATAGGACAAATCGTGCTGACCACAGACCCTCAACCATCTACCAAGTCTATAGTCAACTTCGTTCTAAACTTCTAAAACTAATTTAGATTATTCTTCAACATATAAAACATAAAGTGTAACATAATTCATCTCAAAAAAATAACTACTCGGCCATGACTCCTAAACATGTTGTACAACCACAAAAGGTACAATTATTCCAGTATGAGTCATTCTAGATGTATATACAAAATGATATGCAAATTCTGAGACGGTGAGTGGCAGAAGCTGGTCGGCTATCTCAATGAAACTCTGGTGCAGCCTGGTGGAGGAAAACAATGATAAACAGTGAGCTAGGAAGCTCAGTGAGTGACATTTTAATAAGGAAATAATTTCATAAAACTTCTTCCATATAAACAACTGAAATTTAAACTCTTATAACAAACTTCTTTAAGTTGAAATAATAAGCTTTTCCAGCAAAATTTCATATACTTTCTAAAAAAACCACTTTCTAAACACATACCAATTATCTTTCTTCAAACCTAAAACAGATTAAGGCAACTCAACACCATATATGTATCCACATTCTATTCTGGTCTACTAGCGCAAAGTAATCTTAATATGCACAGCAGAATAATTCTATTTCTGGTCCACTGGCATAGAGTAATCTCAATATACATAGCTGAATATTTCTCTCAACGCGCGGAGTAAAATGGTCCCAAAGACCTTCTATTTCTGGGTATACTATAGAAACACATTCACATAGCATACGGGTAATCACCTAGATACAACAATATGGTGGTTTGAAAACGATTCTTAGAAAATTCTCAATCTCATAAACAGTTATAAAATTGTTCTTTCATTCTTTTTAAGAACATTTCTTTCTCAAATCACTTCTAAACATATTTCTTTCTAATCATACTCAGTAAGCACTATAGTTTCTCAGAAAATCATAAAACATTTCTATGTTCTAAAAAACATTCATAAATTCTCAGCAAACTCAATTTCTCAGCAAAAATAATCAAACATACATAATATATATTTTCTTGAAGTTCTAAAATAGATGTCTTAAAATATTTAGTAAAATAATCACTCACAAATCCTATGAACGAGGTGAATTGGGTTAGTACGCTGCTCCAATTTCCGATCGTCCTGAAATAATAATCAATGAAATTTCAATTCACACTCAATTTCCAATTTAAACTCTACAATTCTTCAAATTAGACCATAAATTTAATCAACAACCCCATTCTCTCTCTACCATCCAATTACACCTCTTCCTCTCTCATCTTCCTTACAAGTGGGACCCACAATACACAAATTCCAACTTGGTTATTAACCATTGGTTATACTCCAATTTATTTCCAACCAAAACCCATTTCACGTT